GCCTTCTCTTCAAGAGGTTGGCCTGAGCCCGAACAATTTTGGACAATTCCTTGTCCCAGGTATGGAGGCCAGGAGAGCAATAGAGCCCACACTGCTGATGTATGGTGTCTGTGGCAGCCACTTTGTGTTTTAGTTGGTTGGGAAATGTCTTTTTTACATTGTATTTATATTATAGTTGATGTTGTATTTATATTGTATTTTTAATTCCTGTCAGCTGCCCAGAGTTGCATTTGTGAAATGGGCAGCCTTATACAGTACATATAATAAAAACAATACACTTCCCTTTCTAGGGATAGTTGTTGAAAAAGTGGTCAAGGTGCAACTACAGAGGACCCTGGAAGAAGCAGATTATCTAGACCTGTTTCAGTTGGTTTTCAAGCCGGGATTCAGTACAGAGATAGCTGTGGCGAAGCTGGGATAAAGGTGGCACACTCACCCTTGAGCTCCTTGAGCTCTTGGTGGCTTTCAATACAATCAACCACAGTACCTTTATGCATTGGTGGTGGCAGTTGGGAATTGGTGGCACCATTTGTGGCCATTTCCAGTTGGTGTTGGCTGGGGTGGAGAGGTCACTTCCTATGCTTCTCCTTTGTGCACTGCCACTGGGTTCAACACTTTGTCCCCTTCTGTTTAACATCTACATGAAACCACTGGGTAAGGTCATCCATCAGTTCAGGATTCAAGTTCATCAATACGATGATGATTCCCAATTATATCTTTCGACCCAAGCTAGCCAAGTGAGGCTATCAAGGTCCTGTCCCCTTGCCTGGAAGTTGTGTGGGCCAGGATGAGGAGGAACTGACTCCAGTTCAATCCTACCAAGACTGAGTAGATGTGGTTATTAGGGCCCTCTAAATATGGGGATTTTCCATTTTTATTCTTGGATTGGGTAGAACATCCCCATTCAAGAGTGGTACAAAATCTGACTCACTGCTTCTGCTCAAAGAGCAGATAGCAGCTGCGGCCAAGAGGGCATTTGCACAGCTCCATCTTTTGTGCCAGTTGCACCCTTTCCTGATCAGGAGGCTCTTCATATAGTCACTCATGCCCTAGTAACGTCGCATCTTAACTGTTGCAATGCACTCTACATGGGCATTGGTCTTGAAGACCACATGGAAGCTTCAACTGGTCCAGAATCTAGTGGCATGAGCATTGATGGGCATGCCTAAGTATGTCCCCATGACACCTCTGCTTTGTGAGCTCCATTGTTTGCCAGTATGCTTCCAGGTGCAGTTCATGGTGCTGATTATCACTTGTAAAGCCCTATATGGCATAGGATCAGGCTATTTGAGGGACTCCTTATGTCCCATGGCTTCTGACTGGCCCTATGAGCCAGCATAGTGGGTACACTCTGGATTCCTTCAATTAAGCAGTGCCATCTATTAGGACCAAGAAAGTGTGTCTTCTTTGTTGCACTGCCTGTCTTCTGGAATGAGATTCCTCCTAAGACCCATGTGGCTTCCACCCTGATGGCATTCCAGAAGGCCTTGAAGACCTAGTTGCTCTCCCAGGCCTTGAGTTAGGTTTGACAGGGTTCCTTGTTAGATATGCTTTTTGTATGTTTTTATACTGAGCAGCTGGATTCCAACTTTTCTATTAATTCTGTACTGTGTTTGTTTGTTTGTTATATTGTCAACCACCCAGAATTGATTTGGGGTCAGGTGGTGTCTAAATCCAATCAATCAATCAATCATGCTAACTAAATGTTAACCTAGCCTGTCGTACAAACCTGGTCTCCGTAGCTAGTGTACAGTAACCTGACCTAGGCAATCACAGTTACAATCTGCTATCGCTGAGTTCTGATTCTCATAAAAACTTTTGGGCCATGTTTTCATGTTTTTGTTTTTGTTTTTAAAAAAAAACCTCCTTTAGAACACAGTTCAGATACAAAATTCCCGAGAAACCACATTTCTGTAAAGGATTTAACCAATTAAAACTTAAATGACACATTGTCATTGGTCATATTCAATTCCTTGTTGAAGGCCCAGGGTTGTGGGAGAGGCTTGATCTAGCTGAAGATCAATTCTGCTATAAAAGATAGTGAGACAGGACTTGTCTCCATTTGCAGTTTATAGTAGCACCATAATGCCCTGACACCCAAATATATTCCCCTTGATCACATATGTACATATACATATACATATACATACACACTTCATATCAGCCTGATATCCTCACTTTGCACATTGGAATAAAATTAATATTTTCTTTCTTAATCTAATAGTGTCCCACCACTTTTCTCCCTTTTTCTCTGAACATTTGCCTTCAGTGGGTGCTTTGTTTCCTAGGCATTTTCTATATCCGTCACTTCCCCTTCCCCTTCCCCAATTTTGAAATAAACTTTTCTCCAAACTTCCAATCAAGCAGAGGACAGAACAGTATATCTTGGATGCTTTGTTGGGGGAAGAAAAAGACATATTTGCTCAGCTACATTTTTACACAACTCTGAAACAGAGTCAGTTAGGAAGTTTTTAACTTTAGATCAGGAACTCTATTTTCTTCACTACAAAGCTCTGAAAATAAAGGGTTGTCAAACTGGGCTTTTCTTGATTATATGCCAGTCTCCTTCTGTATATTGTGGTCCCATCCCTATCCTCCCCTCCCCCCGGCAACCTCCAGTACAATAAAATATGAGATTGTGTAGTGGCTACTGAGTTAAAGATACCCAGCTCTAACTAGTTGAACAATCATGGCAAGGTCTGTCTCCTTCCCTGGGCCTTTTTCTTCCTGGGTTTATTGTCTCTTGTATTTCTAATTATATTGTCTGAACTAGAATCTGTTAAGTGTCGCATAGTTAAACGTTTTTTGTAGAGATACTTTTATGATTGGGATGCATCTTCCCATAAGATTATTTATATTGCACATTATTTTGAATTTGTGAGATGCACAAGCCTAGAGAAGTCCAAGCAGAGTTCTAAAATTGTGGAATTGTGCAATAAAATCACCCCATTCATTGGGCAGTGTCCTGACTGGTAGATATTTTTCCAGTGAGTAAAGGAGGGAATGTGAGCAAAGGGGGGGGAAAAAACCCCAATGACCTCATGTAGAAAATTCAGCACACTCATAAGTCAGGCAGGGAGTTGCAACAGACACATCAGAGAGCTAGGGATTGTTGATATGGCCATTGTCTTTCTTATCATCCACTCTATTTAATCGATTTAAAGTAAGTGTCCACTCTTAATAGGACCATTCTTTCTGACCACCTGAACTGAATGTTGAACAACTAGAAAATCTACATGAGGTTGCTTCAATTAAGAACAGTACTACTAATAATGCCTTCATTTTCTCTTAAAATGGCAAGTGGTTGTATTATGTTATGACAGGGGTCCTCAAACTTTTTAAACAGGGGGCCAGTTCACGGTCCCTCAGAATGTTGGGGG